TTTTGGTTTTTTCTCCGGTACCAGGAACCGAACTCACGACCTTGCGCTTGCCAGGCAGGCGCTTTTGCCGCTGAGCTAAATCCCCAGCCCCTAAAATAAAGTAATTCTATGGTATTATAAATTGTCCTTTGTGGTAGGCCTGATCCCAAGCACTTTATGGGTACTCTATTGATCCTTTCAGGATTTATTCCAAGCTCTCAGTCATTTGAAGACTGGACATTAGACTTGTCTGGAATAATGCTTTCTCTAGCACTTTTCTTATAGATGGCTCTAGAGTTGTACAGACCTGGATTGAAATTCTAGCTCCTGCATGTTAAACATATTTTCTAGCCTCTCTACACTTTAGTTTCTTCCTTTGTAAACTGCAGATAATAGTTAATAGAGTTTTGAAATCTCTAGAACACTTTTAAGCTTTTGTGCAAGAAAGCAAGTGGAAAATATGCCAGTGGTACATGATGAGTAATGTAAACAGGTTCTGTTCTGTTCCCTAAAGATGGAGAATACTAGTGTCCTCTGTTTTTCAAACATATGGGCCCTGAAGTTCCATGGTGCAGTGGATAGACAAGTAGAGGGACCGAGAAGAGAAGGCTTGCAATTTGTCACTGACATGAAAACAGGATTTGACACAGGTGTGACTGCTCCACATATGGCTGGAGAAATGTAGGGATAGTGTAGGGTCTGGGTAGCAGACCAGCCACCCTGGCTTGTGTGCAGCTGGGTGTTTCCTGTGTAGGTGCATTGTTGGGACTGATTTGCAGATGGGTACTGACCCAGGAATAGACTCACAAGGCTCCACTTGCACAGCTCTCTGGCCCTGAGAAAGTGGGCAGGCTCCCTATAGCATAGGCTGGTGGAGGACAGTACCCGCAGTCACTGTGGGCACTTGCTGGGCATGGGCTGCCCATCCTCCATGGCTTTGTCCATCCTACCGTATGTATCGGGGACTAGGTGCCACAGCTGATTCCATGCCATCTTTGAGATCCAGGTACACTGCTAAGGTGTAGCAGTCTGCAGTACAAACTCCTATACCTAGCTGCTGTGTCTGTTTTCAAGAGCAGGACATGGCTGGCTGGAATGAGGCCAGATCGTTGCCCAGCTCAGTGGAACCTGTCCCCTCCCAGATGTAAAGAGGACCAGGGCTAGTTCAGTTGTACAGGGCTTGAGTGCATGAAGGCTGGAGAGGAGGAATTGTGGCGGGGGTGGTGTCCTGAAGGATGGAGAGCATTCCTGCTGAAGGATGTGAGAGTCCTGTTTTCATGAAGTAGGAAGCACGTTGGGTACAGCAGATCAGGGGAAGTAAAAACCTCTATCCACCGCTGACCACCTGAGGTTCTTAGGGAATGGCTTTCCAAAGAAGGGAATACCAAGTTGATACCATGTAACGAAGGTGTTGTTTGTACAACTGTTTTGTTAAGTGATAGATCAAAATTCAGTTTGGAACAGTCTTGTACTCTGGCCCCTGCTCCTGGTGGCAGCCCTCTCCAACCCTGCCAGCTGGGCTGTGTGTTCTTTTGGGCCCTGTTCCAGTAGCCCTGGAGATATGTCTGTTGGCCCATCACACTGTTATCCTTGGCTCCTCTGGTCTCATTAGACCGAGTTCTTGAAAACGGGGATTGACCCATTTCCTCAGTGCCCCATGCTGTACCTGGCTCACATGGGTTCACGCTGCATAGAGCAGAGTGGGAGGTCAGAGAGGCAACCCGATCTCTGCATTTTCCCTCCTTACCTTTCCCTTGGGAGCACTATCTCATTCTTACACTTGTGTGTCCAAGACCCCTTTATAAAGGTTTCACTGCTCCTTCCAAGGCTTCCAGTTTAGAAGCCTTTCTAAACTCCCTCTAGCTGTTTTTCTTTCTTCTTTTCCTGTTTTTGCAAATTGGAGGGTTTCTCTCTTCTTCAACCCCTCTTTCTCCTTCTTTTCTTCCCCAGAACATGTCCAGTGCTTGGGATCTCCCCTTGTCACTTTCCCTTCTCTGTGACCCTCGTTGCTTTTTGCCTGGCCGGTCGCTGCAACCTCTATCACTGCTTTTTTCTCTTTTGATGTCTGACCTCTTAGACATTTGCTAAAGCTTGCTAAGCTAAAAATTCTCCATGCACCTGCAGTGTTGTGGGTGCTTAGGTACACTGTTGGCGAAGGTGGGGCCAGATCTCCGACCTACACTAGTCTCTTCCAGGGTATTATTGGAGTCATCACTTTGAACTCAGTACTCACACAGGCAGGGTGGGGAGAAGATTGTTGTTGGTTCCTTGGTTGGTATTCAGGGCCTTCTACTATCTTGTTCCTCCATCCCTCTTTCCCAGTGCTGTTCTGTAGCTCCCTTTGACACATATGGTACGTTCCAGCCAAACTGGTATGTACCCCATCATTTCCAGCCTCTTCACATGTCATCATCACAAGGCTTCCAGCAGGGATGCCTTTCACATCTCCCATGTCCTCATGTCTCAGTCTTGTTCTTCTTTGTGATCAGTTCAGATGCCATCTTCTTCCCCCACCTCAAGATTTCCCTGCCCTTGCCAAAATATGTTTAAGTGCCCATGGTACATCCACCACTGCAAGAGAAACAATATCCTGCTCCCCATAAAGCCTAGCCCTGATTTTCTTGCCTCTTACAATACATGTCATTTTGCTTTCCTGCATCCCACATATTGGCAAATTCTTCATAGCTCTCTTTGTATCTAGTGCAGGGTGAGCCCATAATAGACTCTGATGAGGAGCTGTTTATCTATTGAGACACTATTATCTGATGAGGAACACCTGTCTCATAGTTTGCCCTGCGTTAAGCCCTTTCCAGGCTTTGTCTCATTGAATCCTCTCTACAGCCCTATAGGTCCTATGGTTATCCATATCTTCCAGAAGGGAAACTAAGGCTGAGAGATTAAGCAACTTGCCTAGGGTCAACCAGCTAGCATGTGACAGAGATGAGTTTGGTATCCAGGCTTTCCTGTCTTTTAACCACTATGTTTTGTGACCCTAATGAGTGGGATGGTTACAATTCAAAATAGGATGGGAGAAAACCATAGAGGAATATGCATTTCTGAAGCTGCTACCAATGCAGAAAGAACACTTTTTTTTAAGTCAGTGTCCAGTGAGTTTTAGCTGTACCCTTTACCAAGCATAGCTCACAGCTAGGGGCATCAGGATTAGGGAGGTGGAAAAGGCAGCCAGAGAGAGAATTTATCTTCCCAGGTTCCCTCATGGCACTGATTTCCCTGGACCTAGAATTTCAAGGTGCCCAATCCAAGTAGATGGGACCCTGGGGGTTGGAGAAAGATAGTAAAATTGCCTCTTTGTCTCTGTATTTCTTCTTTAAACCCTGAACCCTTAAGGGATAATGACTGTCAGGTACAGTCCTGAGTCCTCCAGGGAGGAAATGAATGCATCTCATCCAAGGGCCTCTGCTGCAATAGAAGTGATGAAGCTTATGAATAAACAATTTTAATATTCAGAAGGAGAGCTGCTGTGGTTCTGAGGTATAGTTTGGAGGAGAGAGAAGCCTAGGCAGCTCCCAGCTGCGGAAGAGCTCCTGAACCCTGGCTTCCTTACCTTCTGCTTTGGTTTGTAGGGACTTGTTTCGAAGCTATGATGTTTTGACACTCTGCTACCCTGCCAGGAGTTAGCTGGGAGCCATGGTTTTAAGCCTGTGAAGAGGGTGATTAGAGGCTCCATGGCTGCAGCACCCTCTCTTTGAACGTGACGGAAGCTGGGAGTTGGCCTGTGTCTCCCCATGTGGAACTGTCTGGACAGCTCCAGCTCTGGACTGGAAAAATGAATACCTGAGCAGATAGCAAGGGGTCTTCTATACCTTGCACTTTATGCATAGTCATTTAATTTTTGGTGCAGACCTGTTTTGCAGCTAAGGAAACAGACAATCACAACAGCTGTAATTTGCCCAAGGATGCATAGCTGAGAGGCAGCTGTTAGCGTAATTTGATGCTGAGTATGGAAAAATCAATTAGCAGGCACAGGTGGAGCCACACTGCTGGGGAGAAAAAAGGACTGATCTGAGCATAAGGGTAGAAGCCTTAGGAAATATTTCCATGTTCTTATTGGCTTACACTGTGGATAGCTATGAAAGGATTGTGGGGATCACCTTTTGTTGGGGAGATGTTTGGCCAGATAAGGCCTTGCAGAATGGTAAACTGATATGCAGTGTTGGGGAGGCAGAAGATAGAAGAATCTATGTGTCTCCTGCGCTCATTTTAATCATGAATTGGTGGTCAGTGGGGTAGGCCTTTCTAAAGCATAATAAACATTAAAAAGCAGAGTGAGGCATAGTGGTGCATGCCTGTAACCCCAGCACTCTGAGAAACTGAGGTAGGAGGGGTGAAAGTTCAAACCCAACCTGGACAACACAGTGACTTAATAAGACCTGGTCTCATCATCATCATCATCATCATCATCATCATCAATTTTTTCCTAAAAGGGCTGGTGGTGTAGCTCAGCAGAAAGGCTCCAGGTTTAATCCCCATTCTAGGGAAAAAAACAAAACAGAACCTGAGATCATTCCAAATCAGACAATATTCAAACCATATATCTGAAGAATATTACACCTCTAGAGGCCTCAGAGAATCTAAGGTCCTGCTTACTTAATACTGAAGCCAAGGTGTGGAAGTGGAGGAGGTACTTTAGATGATAGTGTGTTGTACCAGAAGCAGACATCTCACTGGTCTGAATCAAACCTGGACGAGGAGGTTTTAGGCAAGCAAGGCAGTGGCTTATCTATCTAGTTTTGAGAAATTCACTAGAGGAGAGTAGCTGGAAGGCAGTGCGGAGTGGGCCAACTCCAGATTTGTAGGATGCTGGGGCCTGGGTGTCTGGGAAATGGAAAATAGTCCATGGTGAAGGGAAAATGGATTAAGAAGAAAGAAGGGAAGAAAGGTGATTGCAAGATGGGGTTCTTTCCCAGCTCTGAGGTGGCTCCAGCATTCAGACAGTGCACATGAGGTGGTGGTCTTGTGACCTGACAGCTTGTCCTCCACTCCCCCTTCCCCTTAGGTGATTGCCGTGGTGATGGATGTTTTCACAGACATTGACATCTTCAGAGACCTGCAGGAAATATGTAGGGAGCAGAGAGTGGCTGTGTACATCCTTCTGGACCAGGCCCTGGTCTCCCACTTTTTGGACATGTGCATGGATCTGAAAGTTCATCCCGAACAGGAAAAGGTTTGTGTGGTTTTGCATTTTCATCTCAGTCAACAAATATGACAGAGCTTCTGGGATATATAAGTTGGTTAGTGATTGTGTCCCCCTTTACAAGTGAGGCAGTGAGCAAAGTCATTTGCCCAAAGTCTTACAACAAACACTGTTGACTTTCTGATTCTACTCTTAAGTATCTACCCAAGAGATGAAAGCACATGTCCACACAAAGACTTGTGTATGGGTGTTTATAGATGCATTAGTCATACTGGCCAAAGGATGGAAACAATCCAATGTTTATCAGCTAACAAATGGATAAACAATATGTTGTCTATTCACACAATAGAATATTATTCAGCCACCAAAAGGAATGAAGTGTTGACACATGCGACAGTGTGTACAAAGCTGAAAACATTATGCTAAATGAAGGCAGCCAGTGACAAAATGCCACATTTTAGGATTCTATTTATAGGAAGGACGACTAGAATAGGGATATCTATAGAGATGGGAGTTAGACGAGCATCGGGGTTAGGATGCAGAGGAGTGGAGGGGAGGGTGGGATAATAGCTAAGGGGTACAGACTGTCTTTTTAAGGTAATGAGGGCTCTCAAATTGGCTGTGATGATGGTTGCATATATCCATGAATATCCATGAAAACCACAGAATGATACACTAAAGTGGGTGAATTGTATGGTATGCGAATTACACCTTGATTAAGCTGTTGAAAAGAAAAGAAATGAAGCATTGGTCAAGCTTCAAAATGTTGGCCTCTGTCCCTCTGCGGTGCTGTCTCCTAACACGGGCAAAAACCAGCTTCATGGTTGTGGGCCTGGAGGCTGCTGCGGAAGCTGTTGCTCAAACCAGTGGCTCCAGGAGGCTCCACTTTAATGCTCACCGTTTGTTGAGCTCTGTCCTGGGCACTGCTCAGTGCTCTTGACAGGTGTTATGTGACTGATCCTCAGCAGCCATGTCAGGTAAGTGCCACTGCCCTGGTGTTTTAGATCAGGAAGTGGTGACAGAGCCCAAGTGTCCACGGTGCGTAGCAGCAAGCCAGGGATTTGTCTCTTTCTGTCTGCCTCTAACCCCCGTGTGTGTGGTCTTGGTCACCTGCTGCCACTCATTTCTCATTAAAAAATTAAGACTTTACATCCTTTTCTCTGGCCATGAAAATAATTTCAGTATTTAAGTGTAAGGCAATATAGCTGGGTGTGGTGCCACTAACTTAAAGTCCTAGCTACCCAGGAGGCCAAGGCAGGAGCATCGTAAATTTAAACTGGGGATGTGGCTCAGTGGTAGAGTGCTTGCCTAGCACGCACAAGGCCCTGACTTCAATCTGCACTAGCATGTGTGTGTGCACGCGCACACACACACACACATACACAAATACGAATCAAAGGCAGGTTGGGTGACTTAGCCAGATCCTGTCCTAAAATAAAAAGGATTTTGTCTTAAAAGAAAAGTAAAAAGGCCTGTGAATGTAGCTCACCATTAGAGCACTACTGGGTTCATTTATCATGACTAAAAAAAAAAAAAAAGAAGTCTACACAACGTAGTTGGCTTGGTCTCTTTAATGGAAACAGGCAAGAAAAATAGTAATATTTTTAAAGAATTCATTTTTTTAATTAAGTAACTTAGCCTGTGAACTTACAGAACTTAATTTGTTAATCACCTATTTGAATATCTACTATGTGCTGCATATTGTTCTAGGTGCTAGAAATAAATATTCAGCAACATGAACAGAAAATTTGGACTTTAGTGTTATAGGCTTCTGCATGGGAAACACTAACTTACTACCTTGTTATTATCAAGCATTTTGGTTTGCAAAATTTTGGCTATTTAACTTCTCCCTGGTTCTTGTTTCCTCTAATGAGAAAATGGAGGATCAGGTTTAATGAGGTCACTACTGACCTGTCCCTGGTGGAAATTCATGATGGAGACAGGATTGAGACTTAAGAGACTGAGTGAAATAAGAGAGCCATGTTACTCAGCAGTCAGTCCAGAAATGAGATTGGGTGGAAATGAGAGCATGGAAAACACAAGTCAGACACGGCAAAGTGAATATCGGCCCATGACTGCCCCATACAGAGCCAGGGAAGAAAATTGACGGTGTCAAGGTGTAAATTTAAGGCACTCTCTATAATTAAGGATATTTTAGCAGCAGAAAAGTCACAGAATAGTTCTAACCACAACTTTGATCCATTGATTGCCTCTGCTTCATCCATTAGATAGAAATCTAGGAGGATTTATTGGTTCAATTGTCCACTAAATCTTAGCAGAGTTGTGGCTGGCCTGGTCATCCAGTCCACTATAGTAGGTTTAAAAGAGGTCTGTTCGTCTGGCTTCCTCAACATTTCTGCTGTCTTAACTCCTCCCATGGAGGCACTGTCTTCCCTGGTTGCTTCTCCTACTCAAGCACATCTCTGCTGCTGAATCTGTGCCTTACTGAGGGTGGCTGACTTCTCCCCACCCTGGGCTCTGTGGCCGCTTGAGTGCTGGGTTGTCTGGTCTGCAGAAGTGTGGTCATGTGCAAGTGCTCAAGACTGCTTTGGCCACAGTCGCAGAGGCCTGCATAATATTCAGACAGTTAAGGGAGAGATTCACAAAGCCATACTTAAGACTCCCTACAGTGGTATTTTTATGCTTGTTCTTGTATGTTGATCCTTACCACTCAGCTCAGGAGTCATGTCCTCCACGAAGCCCTCCTCCTGCCAAGTCCATGAGTACTTCTCTGAAATTCTTTAGCTTAAAAAATTATCTTAAAATAATTTTAAGATTACTAAAGAAGTTGCAAAATAACATTTGGAGTTCTTGAATGTTCCTTATCCGAACTTTCTAGATGTTAACAACATCTTATGAACTTGTGGACGAATAATAAAACCAGGAAATAAGCTTCGTATCTACAGACTACAGAGTTTATGAATTTAACCAGTCCCCTAGCCCCTTTTTCTGTCCAGGATCCAATCTAGGATCACGGTTTGTGTTTAGTTGTCAAGTCTCCTCAGCTCCTTTTAATTTGAGGTTGTTCTTCCATCCTTTTGCTTTGCTTTGCTTTTTGTCTTTCAGGTTGTGATGCTTTTGAAGAATACTAGCTAGTTTTCTATAGAATGTGAGTTTATCTGATGTTTCCTCATGGCTTAGTCCATTTGATGAGAATACTGCAGATATGACAGTATACCTAGCCATGGTTTGTTTTTTACTTTTTATTTTTAAATAATGATAGATTCAGAGTTGCAGTTTCCCCCATGGTTATACCTTAGATAATCCGTAACACAATACCAAAACCTGAAAGTTGAAATTAGTGCAATGTGTGTACGTACTTCTGGGCCTTTTATTTCCCATGCACATTAGGCCACAGAACTGTTCATCACCTCAGAGATCTCCCTTGTATAGTACCTTATGATCCTCTCTTTCTCCTCTCCACATCCACCACTATCTTTAACCCTGCCAACCTGTAATTTGTTTTCCATTTCTATCGTTTTGTCTTCTAGAGTGTGTTATATAAGTGGAATCATATTACATGTGACCTTTTAATATTGACCTTTTTCACTGAGCACAACATCCTTGAAATTGATCTAAGTTCTTTATATTTCAGTAGTTTGTTCCTTTTTATCATTGAGGAGCATCACATGGTGGTACCGTATTTAACCACTCCCCCACTGAAAGACATTTAGGGGCCAGGGATATAGCTCAATGGCATAAGTGCCTGCCTGGCTTGCACAAGGTCCTGAGCTCAACTCCTGGTGCCCCCCACCAAATCAATTAAAAAAAAAAAAAAAGACATTTAGATTGTTTTCAAGTTTTCTTGTAAAGAGTTGCTATGAATATTCATGTAGAGGTTTTTGGAAGGACATACGTTTTCATTTCTCTGATTGATGTTATATCTTGCTGTAGGTTTTAAATTATTCAGTTACTTTTCTCTCGCCTACTCTAGTCCTGAGGCCAAGAAGCATGCCTCAGATGTCTGTTGTCTCAGGGCTGGGTGTATAGGAGGGGCTTTCTATGTGGAATGAATGAGAGTTATACAACAATCTGAAACATTTAATTTGAATGTGTAAGATTTCTAACAATATAGAGATGCTAGTATGTTCTAATCTTTAGAGAATGCATTATGGTAGGCTAGGCATGGTGGCACATGCCTGTAACCCCAGCACTGCGGGATGCTGAGGCAGGAAGAGCACAAGTTTGACCCCAGCTTGGGAACATAATAACTTAGTCAAGATCCTGTCTTTAAAAAAAAGCAGGTTATCTTATTTTGTATATGACTGTATATGTGTCTTACATGTATCATTTTATAGGAGCATAGGCATTCACATGCATATAGTGTATGGCTAGTGTACTTTTTGGTAAATATGTACTTGTAGAAGGTGGAACCTTGCTGATTAAGGCCCATGTGAGGTGTTTGTGGCTTAGCAGTCCTCTGTTAGAGAAGGCTCATGCTCTGTTCCTGTCTTCAAACCCCTCATGACGTGGGTTAAGAAAAGAATAGGAGAAGCACCAGCTCAGCTTCACTGGACTTTTATCAAAATGTTATTTATTACTAGCATCTTTTGTTCCATCAATATATCCTCTGCTTTTTGTTTCAAAATCATTTCTTAGATTCTGTTCTTTGGTCTCCCAGAGAGGCAAGTCTTTTAGAGCACTTGTACACATAAACTAAAGGTCTCAGAAGTGAACATAAGAGAAGATGGGCTACTGGAGAGGTAACATTACCTGAGTAACAGCTGGCTAGCATACCATGTGTGTTATTACTACGTGGTGACCCTAAGCCACACACTGCCAGAAAGTTTGTTTAGGAATTATAAACTGAGGCCTCTGGCCTTCCTCGTTTGCTCACTGAATGAGTGTCACTGAGTTGTTCGTTGATTTCTCTCCCCCTCCCTCACCAACAGCTGATGTCAGTGCGGACTATTACAGGAAATATCTACTATGCAAGGTCAGGAACTAAAATTGTCGGGAAGGTTCATGAAAAGTTCACGCTGATTGATGGCATTCGAGTGGCAACAGGCTCCTACAGGTATGTTTTTAACAGGTGCATCACTTATTAATCTGAACTCTTCAGAAGCAGCGTGTCATACCAGGATAAAAGCCTTCTGTTCCTCTCAGTGAGAGCCTGTGGGGCTAGATGTTCCCACATGTGCGCACCTGTGTGTGTGAGTTGGTTCATCAAGCCCCCTCCTATTGGAGGTCATTGGAGTGGGCAGTCATGGCCCTATCCTGTGGGTCACAGACCTAAATGGAGGCTTACCTTGCCTTGAGGCCACCTAGTAAGTGCATCCTAGATTTAATCCTTGGCTCGGGCCCATGGGATGAGCTGGGGTTTAACAGTGACCCATATAGCCTCCAGTCCAGGTTGCATTGGGATTTGGACCCCACTTCCCCTACTTACATGCAGGTAAGGGCAAAGGCAGGCATTGACATCAGTGTGGAAGGTAGACTTGAAGCTGTCACCTTTAGACTTAGCTTCTCCATGCATTAAGCCTTCTACGTCATTGCTTTCACCCAGAAAATATGGGTCATGTTTCCAACCCACGTTTGAAGTTTCTGGCAAGGGTGTCTTCATGTTGAGAGTAAGGAATTTGAATGGGATGTTGACAGAAAGGTTCACATAATTTCTAGAAGTTGTGCCATTTTTATTCTTGTGGTTTATGGTTGTGTGTTTTGGCAGCTGTCCATTAGACTGTCTGTTGATATGGGATCATACCAACAGATGTGTCTGTAAAGTTTAGAAAAGAAAAGCTCACTTGATGAAACGTGCATTCCTGAGCAATAATTATGTGTCAGCCCTAAGTTTATAGCAGACGAGCAACAAGAGAAAGAAGCTATAGTTAGGTGTGGTGGCACACACCTGCAAGTCCAGCACTTGGGGGTCTGAGACAGGAGGATCATGTGTTCAAGGCCAGCCTAGAAAACGTAGTGAAACCCTATCTCAAAACAACATCAACAAGCAAAAAGCAGCTTTTGATATGTTCCTTTTCAAAGTGCACTATCCTTGTTCAAAATAGAATTAGAACTCTTTCTTGTGACTTCTTTTGTTACAGAAGGTATTTAGACTTCCCCCCAAAGTAGGATTTATTCAGACTAACAAAACTTATATCCAAATGGTTTTTTAGCTGTTCTAAAATCTAAAAATATGTTACTCTCTACAAATGAAATATGCTACATTGACGATAATGATGATGATGATTATAGTCCTGGTGTTGGGTGGATGCTTTGTTTACATTATATCACTGAGGGCTTTCAAAAGAATCATTCTTCTCAGGCACTGAGGGCAATTCTCCACAGCATTTTCATTAGGTAAGGCTTTTAGTTACGAGAGACAGAGTTGGCTGGCTGTTGCTGTAAGCCTAGTACTGGGAGGCTACAGCAGGAGGATCAAAAGTTGTAGTGATTAGTGAGACCCTGTGTCAAAATGTAAAACAAAAATTTTAAAGGAAGCCTGGAGCCAGATATGGTGGCACATGCTTGTAACCTGAGCACCTGGGACGCTGAGGCAGGAGGATCACTGGGAGTTCAAGGCCAGCCTGGGCTACTACATAGTGAGCTCAGGACCAGCCTGAACTACATAGTGTGACCTTGTCTTGAAAAACCAATAAATGAATGAATGGGGCCTAGGGATGTAGGTCAGTGTGGAGGCCCTGGGTTCAACCCCCACTACTACTACTACCAAAAAAGAAAAAAGTGTTGGTGCTGTTTTTCATCTCTTATTAAAATATCTTGGGGCTGGGGATTCAGCTCAGTGGCACAGCACCCGCCTGGCAAACGTGAAGTTCTGAGTTCGATTCCCAGTACCAAAAAAAAAAGTCTTACTTGTGGCACAAATCTCTGTATCAGTGAGATAATTACAAGTGTCCAAAAGCTAAATCAAACTACGTTATGTAGAATGTTAACATACCAGCTTCCACTTGGAAATATAGAAACGTGCAGTAGGTTTTCAGCTCAATTTGACCTTGGGCCATTCATCTACCACAGCCCTATTTCCTGATTTTGTTTTTTTCTGGCTGACGTTTGAAGACAGAGTCTGGCTTACATAGTCTTTAGTAACTGTCTCCCAGAGAGACAGAGATTCTCTTCCAACACTGCTATCAAATCTGAAAACTTATATGGCCCTGGGGGGTCACATGCCTACCCCGAATGACACCCTGCTCCCAGGGGATCACATTCTGGCTGGACTTGTGTATATCTTTTTTTTTTTTTTTTGACTTTTTGAGACAGGGTCTCCCTATGCAGTTCAGGCTGGCCTTGAGCTCACTTTGTAGCCTAGGCTGGTCTCGAACTTGCAACAATCCTCCTGCCTCAGTCTCCCGAGTGCTGGGATTATAGGCGAGTGCCACCGTGCCTAGCTTGGACTTGTGTATATCTCTACTCCCATTGAGGTTAGAGAAGGCACATGCATGAAAGTTTTCCTGGGCAGAGGTGGGTGAGGGATCTTATCAGAGGCTGGACAGGCAGGAGCACATGGTCACTAATCAGCTCTGAATGTGGCTTGAGCACAGGTGCCATTGTTAGAATAATAAGTCATTGTCCTCTGTGAAAACAGAAGAGGTAGCAGGGAACATGGCACTAAGGATTTAGTAGGAGTGAAGCTAGACTCAGGATGCTGTGGTGTGTCTAGCTAGTTTCCTTATCCTTAAAATAAAAGTGCTGGCCTAAATATTTTAGAATTCCTTTTTTGTTTTTAAAACTCTGAGGCTGAGAGGTTGTGCAGGTCTGTGTATTGATTAACATTTGTCTTTTTTACATCTTTGTTGACATACTGTATATACCTGTTGATGCTAGTTGAATTCACACTGAATGGTACATTTTATTACTGAAGTTGTGACTCTCCTATGGCAGGCTTGTCTGAGCTTTATTATTCAGACTGACAATAAGTAACTTCCAATTCTTCACCCTTACCAGTTTCTGTTGTTTTTAACCCTTCAGTTTTACATGGACGGATGGCAAATTAAATAGCAGTAACTTGGTAGTTCTATCTGGCCAAGTGGTCGAACACTTTGATCTGGAGTTCCGGATCTTATATGCCCAGTCGAAGCCCATCAGCCCCAAACTCCTGTCCAACTTCCAGATCAGTGGCAAGTTTGATCATCTAGTGGACCGAAAACCACTAACCAAGGAGCTCACACTAGGCAACCTGCTGCGCATGCGGTTGGCCAAGCTGTCAAGTACACCCAAGAAGACCGACCTGGCCCCAGAGGAGCCTGTGGAGGGCAAGACAGGGACCAAGCCCCGCAACTCCGTGTCTTTCACCATTAATGAGGAAGACTACTTCCACAGCCACAGGGATGAACTGGGGGACAGCAAGGCCGTTGATGCTGCCACCCAGACAGAGGCAGAGGCGGAGATGGCAGCAGTGAGCGTGAGTGAGGTGGGAACACAAACCAGCATGGACACAGCTTGTGCCGGAACCCAGACCACCATCGCCACCAGGGCGTCAAGCTCACAGACCACGGTGTGGTCCAAGTCAGCCACCACACAGACTGATTCAGACGAGAGCAGTCACTTTTCTCAGGGAATGCAGTCTAAAGAAGGATCACCGGTGTCAAAAATGTCAGTGTCAAGGTCCTCCAGTTTGAAGTCGTCCTCCTCTTTGTCTTCCCAAGGCTCAGTGGCAAGCTCCATTGGCTCCCACGCTTCCCTCCGAGCCCCCGACTTCCACACTCCTGGATACCCAAAGTACCTGGGCAGCCCCCACCTGGACCTCTGCCTGAGGGACTCATTCAGAAACTTGAATCAAGAGCGGCAGTTTCATTTCGCTGGCATCAGGTCCCGGCTCAACCACATGCTGGCCATGCTCTCGAGGAGAACACTCTTTGCTGAAAACTACCTTGGCTTTAAACCTGGAAATTTTACCAGAGCATCAGTGAATTTGGTTGCTGTTAGAGATACAGTACTTTATCCTTCCTATCAGTAACTGCTCCGTGTTGACTCCTGGTGCCAGCCATCCTGTGGCAGATATCACCGGAGTTTCCTGCTTTCCAAAACCTCATGTCTCTGACTGCCTTTCTCCCAACTTTTAGTCACTTTGGCTGTCTTTGAATTCTGTTCTGCACATTATTTTACATGCTTTTGTTTTATTTTTGTCCTGTAGAAGCCAGGTGTTGGTTTTATGGTTGAAACACTATGGGTACAGTTTGTTTTGCACAGTTTTAACAGTTCTTAAGAAAATGTTAGATTTTTAACGTTAATTCAATAATAGATAAAATATTCTACATTTTTCTTGATTTGTATACTTTTCTGTCTTAGGGGTTTGAGTCATCATTATTTTTATAGTCAAAATCCTACTGAGGGGGAAAAAACTGTTTCTTAAATGTTATCTATGTTATTAGCATTAAATAAATTTAGACAACTTTTGTTTGAAAGTTTGAGTACTTTTTAAAATTGATTTATGGGGCCGGGGATGTAGCTTAGTAGCACAAGCACCTGCCTGGCAAGTGCAAGGTCCTGAGTTCGATTCCTGGTACAAAAAATTAAAAAAAAAAAATTATTTACGTATTTGTTCAGTGTTTTTTGGGGTTTGTTTTGTTTTTTTGTACCGGAAATTGAACTCAGGACCTTACACTTGCCAGGGAGGCGCTTGTGCCGCTGAGCTATATCCCCCGCATAAAATTTATTTATTTACTTATCAGGGAACATTTTTCTTTTTAACATCTAGGAGTACGTCACAGATAAATGCACCAAATAGGTATCTGTGAGATTTTCTTTTCTCATAGGATTGGGGTAAGAAGAAATATAAACAATCCAGACTGTAAAAGAGAAAACATATAGCCAGTGTTGGGGACATCCCGTCTGGAGCAGGATGAAGATTGATATTACTCTGTATTTGAATGAGGAAACTTGGCAGCAGCACCAGTCCTTTGCACATGCTCTGGCTTTTCTGTTTTCAAAGCAAAAGCCCAAACTATTTCAGTGAGGACCTTGGTTTTCTGCTTCTCTGTGAAGGAAGCCTGGGTGTGCATCCTGGATGTATGCCTGAATAAACTCTAGTGGCCCCACAGGCCTAATTTCATCAGATGGGTGTACTGACATGATTTAGCAATCTTATATCTCTGAGTAGGGGCAAGAGAGGACACTAACAATTATCCCATATTCCTAGTGCAACGTCAGGCAATGTAACTGGTTTCTACGTCCTGCTAATCAAGATGGGTATGGCTGTGGAATCCTATTTTTGTTGAGTCTCTTTACATGGACAGGCAAAAGGAAGAGAGTTAGAGGATGGCTCCTCCTCCTCCTAGCTCACTGCAGCAAAAATGCTCTATGATAGGGTGTTGTCTGGCACGTAGACTGCTGATGCATGTGGATCAGGAGCATGCCTGCAAATTGTCATACACGTTCAGGATCACTTGGGATGACCAGGTTATTCGTTGGGTTAGTGCTGTAATCTATGGCTGTGAAGCAGATATTAGGGAATTGGCCTATGTCTGGGTGTAAACAACTTTGGGGTAAGCCTGGAAGAGGCAGATTGTTATTGGAAACCATCTGGCAGATTTAGATCATTTTCTATGTGCCATTTAAAAAGCTTCACAACAGTATACTGAAGAGCTACATAAGTTAGAAACTGTGATTTCTTATTTTCTGATGAAACTGAGGCTCAGATTAAGTAGGACATCCATGACTACTTTGGCTGGTAAATGACGACAGAAGACGTTGCGCAGGTTTCCAGGTTCTAAATTCAGCTTCTGCTACAGGACTTTGCTCTCCTCTGGAGGCACTGGAGTGTGTGCCACGTACAATGGAGCTAATGCAGTGGTGAATGAAAAGCACAAACAGCTTCATGAACACACATAGGTACAAGGCCCTGATTTGTGATAATGTATTTAAACTGTTTCCAATTTTAACTCAGTGTTCTATAGAACTGTTAATAGGATTACAGGGAAACTTTGACTTATGAATTCAATTCGTTCCCGGGGGCTGGTTGTAACTCAGGCTGTCAGTTGAAGGTTCAGGCTCCTCTACGCAGCCTTCAGAGTCTCTCTCCTGTACGCAGGCAGATCGCAGAATCCTTAGAGAGACATTGGCCCAGGATTTCTCAATGAACCCCTCACAGGAAAAGATATTATAATGTTTCTTCCAGAACTCTTTAAGGGTTCACTATGTATCTGAGACCACCTAGAAGCACAAGCGGCCGGCATTTGGGTCACAACTCAAGACTTTGGTCGTAAGTTAAAACTAAAATGCCAAGTTATAACCCAAGCTGTTTTTATGGTAGGCCTTGAGGGTCCACTGTACATTTTAGAAGTTCTATGTTAGGTTTGGGAAGTGGTGGACCAAATGAGTTGAAGCGGGGTTGCTTATTCATACTCCTCATGTGATGTGAGGATCAGTGACTTTCTCAGGAGGGCAGGGACATGGCCTGTCACACGGTTACCTGACCATACAGACCTCTTATTGTGAGCAGGACTCAAAAACCATTATTCTCCAAAAGTGCTGCCAATAATTAGAAATAAGAACAAGAGATACATGAAACCCTAAAAAAATGGCTTAGGCTCTCCCAGTAAGCTGCTCTGGAACTCAGATCTGAAAAGTATCACTGGGTCAGTTTCTCAAAGTAAAGTTTGAAGACCACTTGCATCAGAGTCCACTGGGGTACTTGTTTAAAATGCTGGGGGCCAGGGATATAGCTCAGTGGCACAAGCACCTGCCTGGCAAGCGCAAGGTCCTGGTTTGAGTCCTATACTCCCCCAAATGCTGATTATTGGGGTATGGGAATATAACTCAGTGATAAGGAGCACATTTACCATGTACAAGGCCCTGAGTTTAATACCCTGCACTGCAAAAGGAAAAAAGTTGATTACTGGTGCTACTTTGAGGGAAAGGGACAGTAAATGTGGCAGACCATGGATTCAAAAACTATTTGTCGTCCCTCATGGGCAGCATGCTGTAAGTCCTGTATTTCTCTGTCAGTCTGTTATCAGACATGGCCACTACAGACTTGGCTATAAATATTTCAGGCTATAGCTCTAAAAATAACTAAATTTTTAAAACAAGCATAACATCATTATCATACCTAAGCAACTTAGATAAAATTTTCTCTCAAATAATCAGTGTATTAGTTGTTCGTTGTATTTATTTATTTTTTATCCTGTAGGCTTGTTCAAACTAGAGATCTAAGGCTAGGCATGGTGGTGCATGCCTGTAATCCCAGCACTCTCGAGGCTGAGGCAGGAGGATCGTTGTGAGTTCGAGGCCAGCCTGGTCTACAAAGTGAGTTCAAGTTCAGCCTGAACTGCATAGTGAGACCCTGTCTCAAAAACAGAAACAGAAACTAGAGATCTATACAGTTTAAGATCAACTCAGTTGGGTCCAAGGTTGAGAGTCTCTCTCTCTTTTTTTTTTTTCCAAGCTCAGAAATTTTTAATAGGAGACAAAATAGAATTCAGTATGAAAAGCATTAAATGAGGCAAAGGTAATTTTTGAAATTTAAAAAGAAAAAGTCCACTAAAATCATGAGTTTATGCATGTTACAATAGCTTCAAGAGATATAAAACAAATACTCAGATAAATGCAAAGAAAAACTGACAAATTCACAATTATAAGGACTTGAGACAAAAGTAATAGTTAATATTGAGCACTTTTCATGTGACTGGCACCGTACTGTGTGCTCTTCATGCATTACCTAAGCCACAGAAAATGCTGGCAGTAACTTTGTCAAATCATATACACATACCGTACATATTTTTGTTCCTGATAAACAGAGAATACACTTTATTTTTCAAACACCTATGAGATATTTATTGAAGACACATGTTAAGCATCTACCCCTTATAAGACTTCAGGAATTGGCTGAAGAGATGGCCACCCACCTCTGTACCCAGTTGGTTAGGGATTATTTTTTTTATTTACTGAGAGTTAAGTAACTCATAAGAAGACCTAAGATACAAAGTCTTGTAAACTCAAAGTTACATGAAGGAAACACATATAAAGCATGCATGTAAAGTAAGCACTAATAACATGCTTACTTCATGTAGACCATATAAAAAAATCTTCGAGTAGCAAAAACAGAAAGGAACCTGATAAGATAGACCATGCACAATGTCCATAAGGTTGAAGTAAACTTAGGTACAGGATAAATGATTATTCCTGGTACTAAAAGAATGTAAAAAAATTCTCACAAAGATCTTACTGAAATGTCACTGTGGCTGGGCGTGGTGGTGTATTCCCTTAATCCCAGTACTCGGGAGGCTGAGACAGGAGGATCGCTGTGAGTGTGAAGGTGGACCAGCCTGAACTACATAGTGAAACCCTGTTTCAAAAAAACCCTAACCAACCAAACAAACAAAAAGACAGCACTGGGATACATTCTGATAATCACATCCTGGTTAAAAAAAAAAAAATGGTAAATATTTTGGGCTATGCTCAAATTGAAGTCCATGACGGTAGGTGATTGACACTTGAGAAGTATCTATGAAGATTGGCTACGTGCCCTACATTGAATGCATTCAGAGAAGCATTGTTACACTGGGTTTCACTGGAGCTGCACACCTAGCTAGGCGCCCCAATTTGCCTGGCAGAAGTCCAGTTTGTCTCTTATTCCCAAGTCCCATCTGTATAACACTCCCTTTCATTCTCAAGTGTCCCAGTTTTGAGACAATCTAGAAAACAGCTGCCAATCTAACGAGGCCTCCCCAATCCACCCTGCTCTAGAGACTTGCAGGCTATCCTTAGACCTTCTAGTTTACACAAACTATTTTTTTTTTTTTTTTCCGGTACCGGTAATCGAACTCATGACCTCGCGCTTGCCAGGCAGGCGCTGTGCCTCTGAACTAAATCCCCAGCCCCTACACAAACTACTTTTGCTTAAGTGAGGTTGTATTGGGTTTTGATCACTTGCATCCATAAAAGCCTTAATGGGTGAAAAGATGAAAATCCCTAGAGCCTATGCCTCCTACATTTTTTTTTTTTTGAGATACGGTCTCGTTGTGCAGTTCAGGCTGGCCTTGAGTTTACTTTGTAGCCCAGGCTGGTCTTGAACTTGCAGCCATCCTCCTGCTTCAGCCTCCTGAGTGCTGGGATTACAGGTGTGTGCCACCACGCCTGGCTTGCCTCCTACATTTAATCAATATACTTGATCTGGAAATATTTCAAAGCAGAGTACCAGTTAATATTGGCAAAGAAAAAATTAATGTACTCAAAATACATGATTTTGGGGAACATCTTTCTGGAAAAATCTATCATCTGGAAGTTGCAAAATGTACCTCTAAATAACAAAATGATCAAAATTTTGTGGAATTGTTGGTAATTAAACTAAATTTTGGATGCTACCTTAAAAAATAATGGTTTAATTTTAGAGTTGTTCCTTTAAGCCATTCTTCCTAAAAATAGTTGGTTAGAAAGACTAAGAGTCTTTTGGGAGAATTTCTAGTTTGTGACAATAAAACTGCACCATCAACACATTGGTTATTACTTAGGTGTTTTTAATAGATGTCTGGATAAGCAAAACAAACCACTGGGGATAGTTGGACTTTGAGAACTTTCTGAGGCAGATGAACCAATTCTCATTTAAAAGAGCTGAGCTCTAATGGGTTTAAATGGTCCATGTGGGTGAAAAAACACTAGCCTGGGAATTAGAAAGGCTGAGTTCTAGTTTTGCTTCTGGTACTAAATTAGTTCATTGATTCTAACCAAGTCTTTTTATCTTCTATGAACTGCAATTGTCTCTTCTGTAGAACAAGTTGTTTAGATGTTGAATAGTCTTCTCCAGCTCTAAAATTGTGCTCCAATAATTTGTGCATGGCCAACCCACTCTCTTTGTTAACAGGAAAATTTCTTCATACTGTCACGAATAGTATAAACATATAAAAAGTAAAGCTGGTGACACACACCTATAATCTCAGCTACTCTGATAGGCTAAGGCAGGAGGAATGTGTGAGCCTGGGAGTTCGAGTCCAGCTTGGGCAACACAGTGAGACTGGTGCCCATCTGTAATCCTAGCACACTGGGAGATGGAGGCTGCAAGTTAAAACCCAGACTGGACAATTTAATGGCTTCATGAGACTGTCTCAAAATGTAAAAAAGTTCTGGGTTCAAATTGGTGTTTATTTAATCAACTTCATGTATAAATCTTGTTTCTTATGTTTAGGTGATTAGTGGAAATAAGACCAAAAAAAAAAAAAGGTCAGTGTCATGAAGAACAAAAACTAAATATCATGCATGGTGTTACTGTGGGCTAAAGCTCAGTGATACAGCACTTGTGTAGTATGTGAGAGGCCCTGGGACTGATCCTTAGCATTGCAAAGGGAAAAAAAATCATGGTATTGAAATATATATTGCTTAAAAGTAATAATGTATATTTCTATTAGTGTGTGTTATTACAACTTGGGGCATTGAATATGAGTGTGACATGATTCTTGTCCTCAGGAAGTTCCTAGTATGATATTGGAGTCAGATTGCAGTTCAACTAAATATTACTACGAAAGTGAGCATACAGGTCCTGAGTCTACAGGGGAGATGCTTAAATTTCATAGAATTTAGAGAAGTAGTAGAGACGGATATCGAATGATGAGGTCCCCTGCCCCCAGTACTGGGAATTGAGTTCAGGTCCTTTGCAACGAGCCACTACTGTACTCCCTTTATGAGACTGGGTTCCACTAAATTGCTAAGCTGCCCAGGCTGGGCTCAAAGTTGCTCTCTTGCCTCAGCCTCCCAGAGTGTTGAGATTAGAGGTGTGTACCAACATGCCCAGCTAGGGACAAGAATATTGTAAAATATGGACAGAGAATTCTAGGCAGGGGGAGTAACGTGTATTGAACCCTATTTTCATTATTATGGAAATAAATGAGATATTTGGAAAATGAATGTATGCAGATAAATTCAGGACAACCCCCCTACCTGCCAGTGGCATACTAGGCACTTTACATGCTATTTAGTACTTTTGAAAAACTCATTTTACTAATAAATGCTAGTGAGACTGAGAGAGAAAAGGATTGTTCGACGTTATTAGTGAGAATGTAAACTAGTACTAGTACAAACATGGAACGCAGTATGGGAGATCCTCAAAAAACTAAAACTAGAAATGCAGTTCAACCCAGCTATTCCCCTTCTAGGTATCTCTCCAAAGAAGTTAAAGACATCATATTCTTTAACATGCATACTCATGTTTATAGCAGCACAATTCATGTTAGCTAAATCTTGGAAGCAGCTTGTATGTTTATCAACAATGAATGGATAAAGAAAATGTGGTATTCATATACAATGGAGTACTACCCTGCTGCAAAGGATAAACTTGAGTCATAAATAGGAAAATGGATGCACCATCAGACACATAAGCTTAATACTACATGGTTTCTCTTATATGAGAAACCCAAAACTTAAATGAAGAGCAAAATAAAAGTAGGTAATAGAAAATTTTGGGCCTTCACACTGAGTTACATCTCCAGCTCTTTGTTTAGGAGACAGACCGCTGCTAAATCATGAAGTTGTCTAGGTTAGGCTCAAACTCACTAGCCTGCCTCAGAGGTAGACCTTTTGCAAATGGGAAGGGGACCAAGGGATGGAGGGAGGAAGGTAGGAGGGAAAGGGAACGAAAAAAAGAATTGAGATGTGTAATGTGCAGGTGCCAACTCCCCACAAGGAGTGTGATCATTATTTACTGCAAACATGTACAAAAAGTTTTTTGAAAAAAACCCCCATTTTACAACTAAGATTAAATGTCACCTAGTAGCCAGGAAATGGCCAAATCAGGGCTACTTGTCCACAAAGTCTTTGTTCTTGCTGTAACTATACTATTTCTCTCCAAGAATGCTGAATTTTCTTCACAGGTCCAAAAATGTGTATTATAAAGCAGTGATGACAAATCTTTTACAGGCAAGTGTCCAAACTACAACCCCAAGCCCACTTATTTATCACAAAGTGCCAACACCGCAATTAAACGTGAATACTGAGGTTTTAGTTTAGTTTGTTTTTTTATTTTTGTTTGTTTGTCTTTTTGAGACAGAATCTCGCTATGCAGTTCAGGCTAGCCTTGAGCTCACTTTGTAGCCCAGGCTGGTCTCAAACTCGCAGCAATCCTCCTGCCTCAGCCTCCCGAGTGCTAGGATTACAGGCATGTGCCACCATGCCCGGCCGAGGTTTTAGTTTAGAAAAATCAGTTCACACATTAATATCTTTTATCTTAAAAAAAAAGCAAAAAATAAGTAACACACATGCCGTAATTTCACCAGCAGTTCTATACTTGCTCACTTTTTTTTTTTTTTCGCCCCAGTGGCACTGGGATTGAATTTTGGGCCTTCACACTGAGTTACATCTCCAGCCCTTTGTTTAGGAGACAGACCGCTGCTAAATCATGAAGTTGTCTAGGTTAGGCTCAAACTCGCTAGCCTGCCTCAGTTTAGCAAGTGCTGAGGTACAGATGTGAGCCCACCAGGTCCAGCTTCCCTAGTTTGGTAAAATGCTGTGCCCCTGAAGGTTCAAGAATGCAGGCTAGACTCTGCATTTAAAAATGTTTTGAGACAGTCTGGCTACATAACCTAGGTTGGCTTCAAGCTCACTGGAATCCTCCTGCCAGGTGGTGCCTGATGACAGGCACCACCACATCTGTTTTTTTTTTTTTTGGTACCAGGAATCAAACTCAGGACCTCGCACTTGCCTGCCGTTGAGCTATATCCTCACCCACATCTGGCTTGGAATCTGCTTTTTTAACAAGCATTGACTCATGATCATCTGAACTAGAGAAAAATACTGTGTGAACACCCTGGGCTAAGTGATCTCATTTCCAGCCTTTTATGCCAACCCATTTACCCTTCCACCCCACCCTATTTTCTGGCATTACTTTCAGTGTTGCTGAAACAATTCGGATCACTTCACTGCCTTACTTGCTGATAATAATACAGACTACTGTTACCCAGCATTTATTCATTTACAGTTTACATCATCTCTAACCCGCTCCCCAGGCTTCCTCCATGAGAAACCGCAGTACCTGGGCACCCAGTAGGTGCCGAATGTTTGTGGACATGGTTATCATTATTTTTCAATTTGAAAACAAGGAAGAGTCTAAAAGAGAAGTAGCAAAGCTGGGACAGCGTGTAACACAATCAGTATTTGGTGGGAATTTTGGCCAGCGTCAGAATTATGTCATTAGCACGTTAATTATCATAAATACAGATTTTGTTTGTTTGTTTTTTGTCTTTTTTGAGACTGGGTCTCACTATGCACTTCAGGCTGGCCCTGAGCTCACTTTGTAGACCAGGCTGGTCTTGAACTCACAAGGACCCCTCCTGCCTCAGTCTCCCAAGTGCAGGGATTACAGGCATGTGCCACCACAGCCGGCCATAAATACAGATTAACAGCCAGACTAAAAGGCCAGAAAACGTAAATCACATAAAACAATTCTACTAAATCAAGGTACACTTTTTGATACACTGACTCCGTATCTCTTAATCCGGAAGCAGTGCCTCCGCGGATGCCGTACAGAAGGGTCTTCCCGTCACCGGTCCTTCCCGAGACCCCGCACCGTACCGGGAGCGGGTGCAGCTGAGGTCACGCCTCACTCCACTAGCGGCCTGGAAGCCCGACCCACCCAGCTCTCTCTGGAACGGCAGACGCCACGGCCTCTGCTCCCAAATGCAGCAGCAGGGTCACGTGGGCCCAGAGCGAAGATGGGGCACGAGCGCGCGTGCCGGTCACGTGGTATGAAGGGGCAGTGGTTACGGGGGCGTGGCCTTCACTCCTTTGGTCTGGGCCCAGGGAGGCTCTTCGCGGGCCACGCCCCCTGGGTCCTGCGGGACTCGCGCGCGCGACGGCGGGGTGGAGCCTTTCTCGTGACCTTTCACCCCAGCATGGCTGCGCCCGTGCGACCCGTGAAGTTCTGGCGGCCGGGTAAGACCCTCAGCAGAACGGCGGGCAAATGCGCCTGCTTACCTTCAGCCTTGGCGTCGCGGCTAGCACCCGGGGCCCTGCGGACCTGCTCGTAGGCCTGACCTCGGCGGGCTGAGCACCCCCGCCTCTGAGCCAGTGGACTCCGGTTCTGGCGCCCACAGTGGTCCCGCGGGATTCAGGAGTCCGCCCCCAACCTGGCAGCAACTACGTGACCTTGTTCCAGTCTCTGCCTCCTCGGGCCTCGCGTCCCTGGTTAATGATTTCCTGTCTTGCCCACCCAGCGAGAAGCGGAGTTCTGAAGCACCTCCGCGTGGGTGCAGCCGCTCTTGTCCTGTGTTGGGGTCGGAAAGTTGACCTTTGATGGTGCTCAAGGGCTTAGGAGCGGTGGAGTCAAATCGCCCGTTCTTTGTCTCCGCTTTATATCCGGAGAGCGGTCTTGGGCAAGTCCACTTCTGACTGTGGACTAACACAGATTTGGTTTCCTCACCTGTGAAATGGGCAGAGTAACACCTATCATGTGGGCTTGAATAATGAGCAGAACATTATACGACTGTGAAGTGGTCATAAAAAAGGGGAAGTATGTTACATTTTTGTACACCCTGACCCGAGTGTCTGTGTGCCAGAAAGTGAACACTTTCCTTTATTATGTTGGCCGCCATCCAGTTTTGTTTTTTTGTTTTTTTTGGGGTGGGGAGCAGTTTGAGGCTGTGGAGTTCAAGCTGGCCTTAAACTCACTTTGTAGCGCAGGCTGGTCCCGAACTCATGGCAATCCTCCTGCCTCAGCCTCCCCAGTGCTGGGATTACAGGCATGCATCACCACGCCTGGTCGTCATCTATTTCTGACTTGTGGATGAACAGAAATTATCATTACCAAGTGCTTTGTTTTGTTTTGGCACTTAACCAGGTTATTTTTTGAATGTGTATTCAGACCATGCAAGGTGCATTATACTTCCTCTTTGTTCACTAGTTCCTTTAAGAAATAAGTTGCTTATTAATAGCCCCCTCATCCCTGCAACCTGTTTGTTGTGCAACATATATTGCTGCAAAAATGAAGACAGAAAAAGTCATGTAAGGAAAAGTTTTAAAAGGTATTTTAGAGTGGTTCCCTGAAATTCTGACCATGCAGGTAAATGATGGGAGAGATAAATCCAAGCAAAGAATATGCTTAATTCTTTTTAAAAATCTTCACTTTGCCTCTTTATGGCAGTTTTAAGACTCAGCATTTCAAGGGTTTAGCCAATTGTCTATCCTGAGTTTTATTTATGGTCAAAATGAAGATTCCATTAAGTAATGAGCTACCTACCTTATTTACTGAAGCTTTTAATAACAGACCAAAGTGCTAAGTACAGCAGGATGTGGTGATGGTGCAAACCTTTGATCCCAGCACTTGGAAGGCTGAGGTAAGAGAGTCACTGCAAGTTGGAGGATAAGCTGAACTATGTAGCGAGACCCTGTCTCAAGAAAAAAAAAATAAACACACACACACACACACACCAAAGTGCTAAGTGTAGTAAAGGCCTGAATAAGTTGTTGAAAGTTATACCAGGTACTATTTTGGTTAAAGAACATGAAATTACTCTCAAGAGTTTTATTCTATTATTTTGTCCGTTAAGAGTATGTTTACTGAATCTCTAACCCTGTAGCCAGGAGACAAATGTATTTGTTCTGGGTTCTCTAAAGGTGTGCTCTCAATGGAATATGAAGTTAGATGTCCATTAGAAAACATTTTATCTTTTTTTTTTTTGTTGTTTGTTTGTTTTTCTGGTACTGGGAATCGAACTCAGGACCTTGTGCTTGCCAGGCAGGTGCTGTGCCGCTGAGCTAAATCCCCAGCCCTAGAAAACATTTTAAATGAAGCAGAATAAGATAGTGGTAAAGAAGTTGGGCTCAATAGTCAGACTACAGTGCTCATCTTGAATACCAGTCACTAACTTGGCTTAATAGTCATGTAAATGCTCAAAGTCTTGCTTCTGCTATCCATAATCTGGCATAAAAGGATTATGAGGATTAAATCAGAATAATACATAAAAAGCTTTTAGCATTAGATATGTAACTGTTATATTTATGTGGATTTATAGGAGAAGGAAAAATTGAATATGTAGGTAAGAAATACTTGATAAAGATGGTAACACTGGTACATTCAAAGATGGCAATAGCTTTGAAGCGTTTTTTTCCTCTTCATTGCTGGAGATTGAACCTGGGGGCGCTCTGCCACTGTTTGAGGGCTTTGACCTGACCCAAGCAGTAAGTACAAGCTGTGATCTAAAAATACAGTAATGGTACATCATGAAGAGGGAGTAAATATTAAGGGATGAATAATGTTTTGTTTCCTAGAGTGGTTGGGGAAAAGAACTCTAGGCAAATGGTACAGTATGAATAAAGGCAGAGTTGGATTTGTGTCTTAAGAATGTCCAGAAGTAACCAGTATGATAGCACACGCCTGTAATCCTAGAACTTGGGATGCTGAGGCAGGAGGATTGCCATGAGTTTGAGAGCAGCCTGAACGACATAGTGAGTTCAAGGCCAGCCTGAACTATGGGGAGATTCTGTGTCAAAGAAATTAATTTAGAAAACCAAAATAACTGAGTAGTGTAGTGGTTTTATGTAGTAAGGTAGAATTTGGGGTGTGGCAGGAAATAATGCTAGACATGTAGGGAGGGGTCTCATTGTGATAGATCTTGATGACAAAGATTTTGGACTTTACCATTTTTCAGCAGGTAAGACACATAGATTTATGTTAGAATGGTAACCCTGGCAGTGGCATGGCAAATGTGGATTTATCGGAGAAAAATTATAGCTTTTTTTTTTTAAATAGTTGAGCAATGAATGGAGGAGGACATTAGAGGCAGGGACATTCTTGAGAGAAGGTACTACTAAAATCCAGAAGGGGTGAATGTTTAAATAAAAATTTATTAAAAAGACACATTGTCATTAATCACCTTCAAAATAATCCCCCTCATTTTGAACACACTTATCCTATGTTTCTGCCACTTTCTGAAGCAGTTCTGAAAGTTGTGTTTGTAAGCATCGTACCCTTTGTGGTCATTTTGACTTTGGGAAAGAGCCAGAAGTTGCATGGTGCCAGATCCAGTAAATACGGTGTATGAGGACACACTAATGTTTTTACAGGACTGCCGTTCCAGTGATGGCACTCAACAGCAGCATTCCCTGTATTTTTGATCACACCTCACGAAGATTCTCACAAAAGAGGACTTCCAGAACTGCTTGAGAATGTGGCAAGAGTGGTAGGATAAGTGTGCTTGAAGAGAGGAGTATTTGAAGGGATTAATAGCATTGTGTCTTTTACTACAATAAATTATAAAAAAATTAAACATTCTCTTGTTATTTTGATTACTCCTTGTATATGTGGTGATCTAGCACATGTACATAATGGAAAAAAATTACACAAATACACTGTTTTCTGGAATGTGCTCTGTTACTTCCTGTTTCCACCCTCCGCTCTCTCCTTTTTCCTTCTTTTCCTTTGTGGTGCTGGGGGTGGAACCCAGAACCTCACACTTGCTAAATATACACTCCACTGAGCTACTCTTTCTGTTCTATGGTTTTAAAAGTGCTGGCATGACCCATTACATGGATTTCATAATCCAATAATGGGTCACCAAATTTTGACAAGCTGGGCTAAAGGGAATGCTGAATTGGGGGTGCTACTGGGAGCTTTTTTTTAAATAGTTGAGCAATGAAGGTGTTTATTGTTTGCAAAAATTATGAAGTTGTTAATACTTTAAGCGTAGAGTATTCCCAATGAAGAAACAACCATAAGCATCCTGAGAGGGCTGTGGGATGTGTACAGAGGAAAAGCAGCCCTGAGGTTCTGGTTTGGCTGAGTGAAGTCTTTTGTAAAAAGATAAGCTCTTTATTGATTGACAGCGGCTCCTCTTATAAAAGAGATCATAACAGAATACACTGAGATGGGCTGGGCTGTGGATTAGAGACAAGGGTGTGGTGGGATAGTGAACGAGACCCCAGGTACATTAAACGTGGCTGTGGGAAGAAGTAAGAGACTTTGTAGAAGCAGTGTTAAAATATTCCAGAAATAAGTGAACAGTTTAAAATGTTTTGAAAAGGAGGGAATTCTGGCAAAAGACAGAGCAGAAGAGAATAAGATATTTTTTGCAATAGCCTTTTTTTTTTTCCGGTACCGGGAATCAAACTCATGACCTTGTGCTTGGCAGGCAGGTGCTGTGATGCTGAGCTAAATCCCCAGCTCCGCAATAGATTTCTTGATTAAAGATTATAAAGGATCAAGTCCTAATATCTCCCCCTCAAAAAAAATTACAAGGAGTTATTACAGTGTTGCAATAGTAAGGCCTGGGATGTAGCTCAGTGGTAGAGTACTTGGCTAGCATGTGTGAGGCTCTGGGTTTCTCCACACTGAAAAAAACCAAAGAACAAGAAGCAGTAGTAATAGAAAAAAGGAAAGGGAACTTGCTTAAGTACAGGCTTTGTTCCAGGTTCTGTTCTATCTTTTATCTTGTTGAAAGGAAGATCAGCATTTTGGCAAAAGCAACACAGCAGTGCCCCACTTACCTGATTTCTGGCAATCTCGAGCCTGTGGAACACAACTCTGTTCCTGGAAGTAAATGAAAAGGGACAGAAATCTAAAGCAGTGACTCTAAACTTAGCCCTAGGAAGGGTATGGACCCCTTCTGTTTTCTAGTTTGGTAAATTTTTTTTCTGGTGTGGTTTTCAAGAGAATTCATAGCATTTATCAGATTGTTAAAGGGATCTGGGACCTGTAAAAAGTATAAAACTTAATCACTGGGCTAATTACTCTTAAAGTCTGTGTTCTTTCATATAGCATCACAGATGTTGAGTTCTAAGGACTGGGGAGATAGTTGTTTTGGGCAGTTATCCCCATAGTGCCCCTAGTAGGATGCTGTATATACTTGTCTGTACTTCTGGGCCGAATTTTTATTGATTCACAAGGCAACACACTCCATTACCGAACAGCTCTACCTTTTAGAAATACTTTCTTACATTGAATTGAATTCTGAACCTTGTGTCCTTTACTTACTATTTCTAATTCAGTCCTAGGGCCTAGGGGCACATGAACAAATCAGCAAGTCACAGAAGCTGATCATAAAACACGAACTGATGTTTCTCCTGAGACTTTTTCCTTTTCAGGCTAAAAGTCTCTGGTACCTTCCACAGGTTTTTAGGATGGGATCTGGCTTCTTTTCGATATTGAGCAGCATCATTTTGTCATTGTTCTTAGCAACCCGTAGCTGTCTATTGTTTCATCTGCTCTCCACAGTGTTTTTGGGAATAGCATTTCCCATGTAACCACTCCAGCTCTGGTTCAGATGAGGCTGCTGTTCACTGTGTCCCACTCCACTGACCCAGGGTGACTGGATCAGGGTGGGCATTGGACCTAAGCTGTGAGAAGTCAGTCCCTGAGGGTTCAGTATTTAGAGCCTGCTGCACTCCTGTCTACAACACACACGTGGGACTCTCAGTCCCTCTTATGGTGTTCTGTTCTCTCC